GTGGGGGGTGGGGGGGGGGAGGGAACTATCTTCTTACAATAATTTACCCATTCCCTTCACATAGGACTTTGTATGGGGCTTTGCACTGATTATCTCCGGTCTCTGTTTCTGCATTCTTGTTATCAGCTACAACCCCTTCAAATTCTGCAAGGCCATTGTCAATGATTTTGGGATTAACGATTGGAAGCTACCAAAATTTTTTGTCTTTATCATTGCGTAAGTATAGTAATCACACGAAAATTTGCTATTTCTTGAACACTAAATTGTTAGATACTTCCCTTGAAAGACTAACAGTTTTCACATTCAGTTCTGTTAAATTTCCCTTGTACTTGCATGGTCTTGGCGCTCTCTCCCCCCCTTTCACATTTCTAAAACAAATATTGATTATTTTATTTATTTTCAGAGGATTGGTTCCGCTGGAGGCCATTGGACTGATTATTTGGTGGACGTATTCAAACATTGCTTCCACTAGGTGGTATGAGCTGGCTGCAGAATCATTGGCTTCGACGTTCCTCGAGGTTAGATTGTATATACTAAAGCTAACTAACACCTTGGATATAGCGTAACAGTGTTTATATCTATATTTCAGTGGAGTATACTTCTAGCAACGATCCTTGTCTTTAATTTCATTGCCTACCGACTCAAATGCACAGTAGTTAAATCCTCCACTGAAGTCGGTTACGATCCGCATAACCTCTCTGAAGTTCCGCCGGCGGAAGCATATAAATTGGTGAGAGAAATTACACTCTATTCTCAGGCCACTTTGGATATTGGTGTTGATTTATCGAATGACTCAAACAAATGTCATACTACACGAGACAATCTCAGATTGAAGCAATGCGAATAAAACAGATTCTTTTAACAATTGTTATGCCTATCGAAATAATATACCCTGAAAATGACTTTTATATTTTAACCATTTTCATTTAACTCACGTCTCCATGAGTTGTGCCGCATAATGTTAAACGCTTTCTCTTGATTACCGATCGGAGGTCAAAGAATGAGGCGGAGGGTGGACATTGGGGATGTGACTATTTAAAGGCAGGCCTTTTTCAAAGTAATTAAGACTTATAACAAACATACAAAGGATGCACTAAATGCTAGCTAGCCCAAATTCAACTATCCACACGTACCTCAACAGAACACTTCTCACAGCACGTATTTCACCACTACCCACAAATTCATCCATGCCAATTTCAAACACCAATTTTGCCTCCACTTCGCTAATTTCTTCACTTGCTCCTCATCATTTTAGGGCCAAACTGGCCCACCTTTTACACCACAACTAACCCTAGCCTTGACCCAAATTAAGCCACCCACCTACACATACCTCAACTCAACACTACTCACATCATTCCATTTTGCATAACGTTGTCTTATGCCTTTAATAAACAACTAATAGATATTGCAGGAGCAGCCGATCAGGTGAAAGCCAAGTTATACGAAGCTCTGTTTCAGGAATTCCTATGAGCAAACGAGAAGAAGGCAGTCGGATAGTTAAATACGTGTATTAGTGCTTGTTTAGAAACAAATGGGTACTTACTTTAGGCGTATTACCGCCGTAATCTCAGGAAACAGGATAAAACGAATTGAATAGCACATTCAATTAATTATTTGCTTTCGGGTAAATTTAATTTTCTTTTATCCAACAATCCTTTAGTCGGACCAACGACTGTCTCTCGTTTTCAACCCTTTCAGAAAGTGGAACTAAGCATTTTCAACCCGACGTTGCTTCTTCATCAGTTTTTGATGAACGCATTATGAAAATGAGTGATGAAATAATTTACAAGGGCTTATGCAGAAATGGGACCAAGAACAGGTTGTCAATTCAACAAAAAAGAAAAATGTCTCTTCGTGTATTGAAAATACAGGCACATATCTCGAATTCAATGTTCAAATTTTCAGTATTACACATTTGAATTATTAAATGAGTGGTCGACGAACATTTTTGTAAGTATCTTACAAAAATGAAATTCAAACTATGTTAAGAATCGAGAGATTATATAAATGGCAAAACAGAAAGATGCTAGTTCGCGTTAGAATTTTTCCTTGAAATTCGTCTTTAAATTTTCTTTGTCTCTATGGCACTCTCCTACGTTTGCTAAGACTTATAGAACTAGCTACTGCAAAGATATAGAGGAAATAGACGTACCACATGGAACACAATTATTCGGGATGTGTATGTCCTGACATGGAGCTTAGTCATTATATTTATATGGCGGATTTGATAACCTAACTGTAAACTATTGACTGACGTCTGGCATTACCATATTTGTTTATCCTCTACAGCTTGGCTACCCTTAGACCAACTTAGATTAACTTCAACTGACGACGAACTGACTGAGCGACATTGTCAATCATAAAATCATCTTGACCCAACTAGATCGTCCATAATCTACTGTACCTCCTAATTGTTTCTTTAAAAAAGCTATTCTTACTACCTCATAAATTTCAGAATCTCAAACTCTCTCAGTGTTCGAATATCTCTCTTCTCTTTTTACCTCTCTGTTTGTAGTTCTTCAGTCTGCTAATTAAGGCATAAACAAAAAAATAGCACAATACTAGTTTCTCGTCATTCTTAACTAAGTCCAAATTTTCCTTCCATTGCCAATAGTAAATTGCATAGTATGCTTATTTCTAGCACACCTTCCCCATTTCATAATCTCATGACAGTAATCAAAGATTCGCCCTCTGGAAATAACTTAACTTGGTTGGAACGTAATTATACAAAGTAATGATGGGCGTTATAATGCAACTCAACTTGTTCAAATTTTATAATTTAACTGACGGGGCGTGCGATAGACTTACCTCCACGTGGTGCACCCTGGGCAACGTTTATTCATACGGCAAAAAGTCTATTAATCGGCAGTTGACTTCTCACTTCAAGCTACCATCACCCCACTGTATGCCATATTCTACCACTTCCACAGTAATCATTTTACCTTTTCTATGCCTCTGTGTCTGTCTCTTTTACAACTGCAAACCACTCTTCTGTTCCCCATTCATCGACTTTCTATTACTTTGACATTCCCTCCCTCTGTGAAGCCCGAAGTCAGCTAAAGGGCTAATGATAACTATCAAAACGCCTGCCATTTGAAGTAAATACTCGTACTGAATAAACGTGCTCCGTGCTACACGTCTGTTTCCTTCATAGCTGGGCTATAGCTTAGCTGGTCCTGGGAGTCTAGCTAGATGTTGGAGAATCTGCCACAGAGATTTCTGAGTTAGTCAGATTTTACTAGCGTAGCAATCCGCTACAAGCTGTTTCCATCAAATTGTTTTTTCACATGTGCGTAAGTAGTATCGATTTCTAACATAAAAGCGCTAATATTTTATTATTAACACATTTTTAATGATTCAATTAAAAATCCACCTTTCATATTGTGCATAAAATCGTCTTAGGAGCGAATCCAAAGTGTGTAACAAGGAGTTTCAGTTTATTTTGGCATGGATGTGCTGTTTCTTCCTTCCCTAAGACAACTGTAATGGAGTATGGAGAACATCGGGTTGGAAAATTGTGACAAATTTGTTTTGTGAGTGGTACTTATTGATATCGAGCCACTGATAAGTCGATATCGCACCATTAGCGCTAATCATTTTCCGCTCAATTGAACACCGAAGTCAAATGAATAATAATTATTGGTTCTGTCTGCTCCAGTTGACCACAGCGGGGTTTAGTGAAATATGCAGTTGTTAAATTATGGCAAAGAATATGTGATCTTGGAGTGGAACTGCTGTTTCCATTTACCTGGGGTCTGATAAGTGATATTGGCGCATACTTTAGACTAATAATAAACCGAAGGTTGGTCACGGGTTGTTTTGCACTAATGCAAATGCCCGTGACAACAAGAGTTTGTATTAACTTGAATCACTGTAATTAACCAATTGGGATTATGGGAATAAATTGGCAAATTGATTTTTGAGCAAACTGTTCAAATGGATTTTTCATCTTCATTCAAGATCAAGTCCAACAGAAGTTTATAGGAAAATGAAACCTACATAACTTGGCATTTTAGAGTCATGAAACTTCGGGGGGAAGAAGAGCCGAATCGGTGGTCACACACCTAGAACCGATCCATTAATTACTGAACCAATTTTAACTTTTGTTTCCAAAAGTAAGGGTTTTTCGACTAAAAGGAGGGAAAAAATGTCCCAGTTTAAGAGACGTTCGTTATTCGTTAATTATTATTAAAATAGGAGTTAGAAAATGCTGACACTCTTTAATGAACAATATTTGGTCAAAAAATGAATTTTCACATATTGTTTGCAGTAATTTTTCACAAGTTCAAGGGGGAAACATTCACTTTTGGAAACTTTCCAATTGCATGACAAAAATTCTTACATTTAGGTCATTTCAAAAGGCTCCAAACAGTAGTCTAATATTTCCATTTCTCTCTTCTGTTGGCAATTTCATGAAAATTTAACTTTGTGGGACACGTTATCGCTGTGTGCGTCATCGTATGCCCGCATGTCTGCTCGCCAGGATTGGGATGTGCGCCGTTCAAACAATGACCAATCATCAACCTCTGTTTAACCTAATCCCATACAAACAGTGACCAATCATTAACCTCTGTTTGTTTAACACTAGCCTCTGTTTGTTTGACCTAATCCGCCATCCTGATCATGATCGACCTCTGTTTAACCTAATCCCTCATCCATCTGACCAATCATCAACCTCTGTTTAACCTAATCCCCCCATCCTTCGCCGTACAACTCTGTGTGCAGCGACCGTACAAACAGTGACCACTAGCCTCTGTTTGTTTGACCTAATCCGCCATCCTGATCATGATCGACCTCTGTTTAACCTAATCCCCCACGCTGATTATGAGTAGCTCCCTGGGTGTGCACTTTTTCCGCAATACTCGTACTAAATAAACGTGCTCCGTGCTACACGTCTGTTTCCTTTATATCTGGGCTATAGCTTAGCTAGTTCTGGGAGTCTGGCTAGATGTTTGAGAATCTGCCATAGAGATTTCTNTGACCTTACTAGGATTGGGCACATTAAAACGTAAAAATAGAAATGGAAAATACTGGTGTGGACTTATGAAAAGTATCATATATTATAATAAATCTAGAAAGTCGTATTTTTGTAGTTTCTGAGATTATTTTGAAGTAGAAATGTTAATAAATCACAATTAAAGCTTTGCCACCATAAAATCGTAGGGGGGGGGGGGGGGGGGGNGGGGGGGGGAGAGGGTTTCCTCAATAAAAACAATTCAACAACCTTTTTGATAAATAGAAATATACTTGGTTAGTATACCAAATATAAATGGCACTGAAGTCAGGTGAGAAAGTATTATCTTAATTAGTAGGCTAATGCTTCGCACATGTACGAATTCTGCATTGTTGTGGAGGAAGGGGGGGAGGGAGACCTAGAGGGATGCTGGATCTCGAGACTCCTGAACCCGAAATAATAGAATTTTTCAGTATTGAAGTCTCTGTTTTGAATAATCCTGAAATCGCCAGGAAGATTAACGTCTCGAGGGATTAGCTACCCTGCCCAACACCATAGAGGAAACAGCTTAGTCACTATATAAACTTTTGGGCACAATAGCCGCGTAATGACCACGGTTATTGATTGGTCCGTGCTCGTGACTTCATCGTTTAACATCTCATCCCAACGCTCCAAAATGTTTGAGCGTGCAAGCGCTTCTTCACTTCAGGCAAGCTATTGTTGTAGCCCCTAAATTGTGTTACTAAAATTTGCTTCGAAATTTATTGGGTGAAAGTATATGCACTTTATTTGAATTTAGACTTCCATAATTAGGTTTACCAAAACAATGAATAGAAAAAATAATTGGAAGTTGTTGGCAAAAACTAAACTTCATATATTCAAAATAGTTATTTAACTTATTTCTAAATCATTATTCCAAGGGTTGGGCCAGGTAACCCTGTTTACATTTAAAAAAAACATTTTCGTTTTGGTTCTTCTCTATTTTATTTTTATTAAGTTTTAGATCCAAATCGTCTAACAACTTCCTGGTTAGCAAGTGATTCAACACTGAGGAGTATCTTTTTCAGGACCGGGCAGGTAGGAAGTGTAATAAGAAAAACTAGTTCCCTACTAATGAAACCATTTCATAGAATTTTTCTGAATTCCGATTTTCTTGGCAGTTTGTGAATATCATCACCTAATTTGCGCTCTAAAATTCAAGTTAAAACTCAGAGCAGTTAGCCTCTTCTCGTTTTTTTCATTTTCTTTTACTGCTAATATAGTTGTAAATTGCCAACGAAGGCCAGATTTGCTTTTTTGATATCGAGTCACTAAAATTAGACGTTGTAATTGATGCTAACTACTTTAATATTTAAGTAGGCAGGAGTCCCAAAGGAAAATAAATGATAATAGGCTGTATTTGGTAAATAAGCCCCTTTGTGATCTTACAGGAGATGCTGTCCGTTGGATCAATCTTGAAGATCGTTTGGATAACCTTGTCGTTGAGTTACCAAGGCAGCATCTATCTATTTGGCCAATAAAGCAAGAAAAAGCGAAGAGAACATTCTATCACGGAAGTGAAACCCAGTTTCGGAGGAATTCGTGCTAAACCGTTAACCACAGAATTAATAATTGTAGGTGAGGCGCTAAAAGCTGTTCCAGCATTTACTTAACTGTGCTTGAATTTAAAATCACCAATTGGAGGGGGTCTTTCATTGTTCACTAATTAATCTCAGTCGACTGTTAACTTTTGTGGCAAATAAAGACAGTTCCAATTTCGTAGACCTTAATTGTGGGCACATTGGAACCAGTGGAAAAGTGGTTCTGAGAGAGGTTCAGTCATGTCAGACATTAGACTAAAGTTATAATTGGGAGCCGATTACTAGAAATGAACTGCAATGTACTCCAAGAAGTTGGTATCAAGGGTGCAAATCTCAAATCATAGCAGCTAAACCCTCTGCAGAAATAAAGACCCGCAAAACTTGAGATGTTGGGATTCTTCTGGCAAGACAAATTAGACAGATTACAAAATGTGTAACCTTAAAACTTAAAGAAGTATAAAAGACTTCATTCATGTAAACTAAGTGTCACTCTGCGTTCTTGCTAATCACAGAATTAAGGCTTCAGAGCTGAGTATCTGGCCTTCCAATCATTATGGCCGATACTAATTTAAGCAGTCGATTTTGGTCGATCATACTAACACTGATAGAAGTGCACCCAATATCTAAAATAGCGGTTTTCCCCTAGACAAGGGCTGCCCTTCATGCAGAACACAACAGTATATTCGAATTCAAGGTCCATGTTGTAGTGCGCTTTCAAACAGAGTGGGATAAAGAATTGAAGAAATTTAAATTAAATCTCCTTTAGTAAACAAGGTGGCTGGCATTTTGGCCACTGGGTCTTCACTGAAGGATATCAAACCAGTGGCCTGCCTTCGCAACTGAACACGCTGACCATGGTGTCGCAACCATTAAAAAACCAAGTACTACCAAACTGCAAATCGTCCACTTATTACACAATCAGAAAGGGAAAAGGAGGAATCACTGATAAACTCATTTTTATTTTAATAAAATACAAATACATAAATACGAGAACGCATCATCTTATATACACACACACACACGTACACACGAGTTTTTTTAACTTTGAATAAAGAGATTCTCAATGGAAAGACGCGGTCAACGTAAGAGGAGTTCAGAGTCTGAGGAACAACTTACCCTTATCCACAGTCAGCTCACGAGACTAGGGTTGGACATGATCCCCCAACTGTAATTTAAAGTCAGACAAAAAAAACAAACAGAGCTCAAAAATCGGGACCAAAATCTAAGATAATGCAAAATATAGCAACGAAAAGACAGAAATAGCGTTGGCCGACTCACTGCAAAATTGCTTTAACCATTCACTGTAATCAGCACAGGCCAGAGGCTCCACGAGGGTTTTATCCAGAAGAAGAAAAATTTGTGCAGTCGTTTTCTTGGATAAAACTTCCTCGACAACAGGGACCATATCTGGAGACAACCGTGCAACTCTTTGTCTCAACATCTCCATTTGACAATCCCCCAGACCGCAGGTTTTCACCAATACGGCGTACAATCGCCAGATGCGGCTACTCAAGGGTAAGGCTTCCACTGCTTCACTTAAACACTCGTTGAGATAAAGAGCGAAACCCTTTCCATCATCAGCCGACTTTGGATGAAATTTGACTCCGAGAGACGCTACCAACAACCAAAATTCCTCATCGGCTGGTTTCTCCAAACGTGCGATCGAACAAATACTCTGCAACCATTCTAGGGACTCATTATTGACAGCTTCCTCAATGACAACGAGAGACTTTAAACACCGGAAACCGTAGACCTCCACTATCCGAGCAAATAAAGAACCGGGTGATTTTGAGGAAAACTTATCCACGCGAATGAACTGTAGGAGCTCAAGAAACCAGGAAGCTGGATGTGAACAGAAATCAGCATCATTTACCAAATATGCTGGAAAAAGAAGTTTGTTGAGAGCATCTAAATATAATTCCGCAGAGGGAAGCAAGTTTGCCAGAGATAATCCAAGATGCATGAGAAGAGAAATGAGTGGGCAATGCAGGGAGGAATCATAACCCTGAAAGTTCTCCAATCTGGCTATCACATGATTTAAAAAATCAGGTAAAAGACCTGTCGAGAAACTATGAATCATGCTAAAGAGACCAAAGCACATCCACAAATAGACAATATTTCTTATTTTGATAGGCGGATGGTGAGATATGCAGAGAATTTGACGAAAAGCAGAATAGACAGAAGTGGCATCAGGCAGGTGGAAAGAAAAGAGGCTGGAAAGGTGATTTGCAAGAACATCGCTACAAGACTCCCATTTACCATTGTCAGCCATCGAACAAGCTAAGCAGTAGGTATAACAAGTCTGCATTGACAGCTTATCTGTAACTTCAGAAATTAAACGATAAGTGTGAGATTGATCTTCTGGAAAACAATTTTTTGCCAAGTAAATAGCACTAGGGAGTAGGAGATTATCTGAAATCTGGAGTAATTTTGAGTTCTCCAATACATTGAGACAAAGCATAGCGCCTTGTTTACTATCGCCCTTAGCTGCAAGAAACTGGACAAAAAGGTGACAGAATGAAATAATTGGAGAGATAGAAGAGAGTGGAATAGAGGATTCGGAACATTGAGATACAAAAATACTTAAATTATTGCAAGACAAGCGCATATCTGCCGCAGCAGCTTCGAATATTGCTTGGTTAGACAAAAGTTGTGATGGTTCAATGAGGGGGCAATGAGTGGGCGAAGAGGGGAAATAGGCTGAAACTGCAAAAATCATCCGAAGGAACCAAATACCCCAACGAGCAGGATGGACTATTGGAAGACCAATTTGGTTGCCTGCGTCAACAGATAGTAGACTTTCAATTAAAGAAATGCCGTAGCGGGTTCCACATACTTCCCATTCAAACCGAGCAATGTGATAGACAACAGAAAGGAGACCATTCATACAATAAATAGCAGAAGAAATACTTGGATCCCGAACTCTGCGTAATAGGCGAAATAAACACTCACGAAGAAGGCGCCTTCGATCTGCCAGTGAGGAGATTTCACAGTAATTGAGAGCAAAGTAGAGAAGATCTGTATGATAAGTCACATTTTGTAGAAAATCACAAGCCGAAATTACAATATTTTCTGAAAATGTGAGCACAGCATGAAGATGGTGTTTCAGAAGAACGACGCTATCCGCTCTAATTGGTGAATTCAGAAACGGTGTCCAATCATCACACTTGAAAAATACAGAATGCCAGTCTGACACTGACAAGCAAGTAACCGGAAGGTGGCCATCTTCAGCAGAATCAAATACAAATCCACAAACAGAACATTGGGATTCCGTGAAATGGGAATTATTTCCCTCCAATTCGACGAGTGACCGTAAAGACTTAGGAGTTGAGGTAACAGACTCTCCTGGATGCTGAAAAATACATGTAATGTCGGAGCAATTTCCGTTCAAATAAAAGGGACAAATGGGAGTGACTGGATCTACTCCAGAAGGCTGATTTGAATCATTGATGGTAGATTCATTACAGCAAGAAGACATTTCAACTTCATCAAGCATTTTCTTCGAAATGGCTAAAGGATTATAATACTGAAAGAACGGGCTGTTAATCCGGAATGAAGCCTTCAGGACATCAAAGATGTTGTTACAATAGCCAACAATTTGATCAAGACCTGCAGAATAGGGCTTGGATCTTCGGCACTTCCGCTTTCTCGACTGTTGCACAATCACAGTCCCAAGTTTTTCCTGCCTCTTTTTAGCAATCTGCAATTGGGATGTGATGGTCTTTTTCTTATTACTCATTTGTATTATTTCTTTTTGACATTCCTGATAATGCTTTTGCAATGCCTCCATTCTCTTTTTGAGCTTGATCATTGCTTTCTGCAACATCGTGGAATGACGTTTCTTATCAAGAATATGTTTTTCGCATTCTTTTAAAGCTCCTTCAAGCTCTTCTCTTCGACGAGAATGCTTGAGCAAAGCCTTGTGCAAGGAACTGAGAGAAAGTGTTTTCTTTTGTGGAGAGGTTATGACTGTGGATTTTCCTGGTTTCGGTAAAGCGACTTCTTTTATACGCTCAGATTTACAATAAGACATCTGCATCTGCCTGACAAAATTGTTTGAAGTCTGATGTGGATGCTTAACATTCACGTTGGAGGGCATTGAAGATTTTGCCTCATGTGAGCCGATGGTGACACTAGGTAAACTTGCGAAATCACATTCTTCATCACTACTTGAAGAGGTGGAAGCATTTGGATGAGTCCTCACAGAAATAATAAAACGTTCTTCCAAGTTAAGAGGAGACTTTCCTGGATGCGTGATGTTGTTGTTAAGCGCCGGAGCTGAGAGCGAAGAGCGCAAAGAGCCATGTCGTCTTTTGAGTGACAATAATGCTCTTTTACGTAGTTCAAGCTCTAGTTGTTGGTCCCTCTAAAAGACCTAGATTAAAAACTAGAAAGTCATGCCTCGAGAGGGATTTCATCCATTTCAACTTCTTCCAATCTTTCTTCCGAACTAGTCAAATTGTTCTGATCCACTACAGGACTTTCTACAAACAAGGATTTATAAACACCATAAATACATCAGATAAGGAATAGGCACCAACCCGCATGTTCATTGGCTGAGATATCGCGACCTGGTTTGCGGAAACTTTCCAAAGCTCTGCGCCTCAACTCGACTTCATCAGTAGACAGTTCTAATACGCTTTCTTCGGCTGTTTGCATTATAAAAGACATTAACAGGAGCACCCAACCTTAATTATAAAAATATCAGTTAAACAAATTATCAAAAAATCGCCTTCGTGATATGTAGGTTAAGCAAGATTTAACGTATGCGATAAATGCTTATTTAAAGTAGAATTTGAATATTGAAAATTACAAAACTTCAGCGGTCGAATAGTAATCCATACAACGTTTGAAAAATTGCGCCAATCAGGCGACTCCTCATAGGTGGCGCCAAATTTTATATATAATCCGGTTAGTTGAAATAAGATAGGTCAGTTAATTTATTTCTTTATTTGGCAAATTTTGATTTACCAAAATATATTTCATATTATTTTAATCTGGATAAAGACTTTACTAAAGAGCTATGGAAGAGCTCCATAATCCTCTCCTCTCCAGGGTTTGCTGTGGGGTCTATCAATGGCCACCTGCCCATTTGAAGCCACTAAACCTAGTATTCTTAGCTCATATTGAACTTGTCTCAGCACCTCTTCACTAGTACTTATTAAAGGCTCAATTAAATAAATAACATGCAATTGAGCGTTACATTCTTATATATGACTGAATTCCTCCAAACCAAATTATATTGAATACATTGTTTAAAGCTTCCGAACCCCATCCATAACAAGGAGACACTTGTAAACCGTAAAGTTAAATTAAGATAAGAAGTGAAATAAGGGTCAAATGAGACACCCTAGGAGCAATATTTTAAAAATTATTTATTTAAAAAGCTGCCATTATTAAAAGCGCAATTAAAGCACATTTAGAAGCGAAAACTGATTTTGGACCGGAAGAATTAAACTTGTTGGAAGGAAGAAATCCATTTCACTAAGAAGAGTCCCCAGACGCGCATCCCAGCGATCTCTTGATTGTTCCTTGCTTGTTCTACAAGCAAATACTTTTCTGGTTCATCTTTTTGAAGATCCATTGTCAAAGTCACATTCCTACAAAACAAATAATACTCATTTAGCATACTCTGAATATGTACAAAAAGTCTTGGCCAGTTTTCCACATGATCGTTCAATTTACATGAATATGCCACCAACTATAACCTATTACAATAAACTAAGAAGCACCTAAGTCTTGACTTATTCTTTCTGTGCATTTGTATGCTAGTGAGTGTTGATCTATGAAAATTTAAATAATTCCACACCTTCAATATTGAGAACCAATACAAACTGGACACTTGAAAATAGGCACTAAGGGAGCTGAGTGATAATGGAAAGCTCTTAAACACTTGATTGATTAATATACAAAGTAAAAATTGTAGACTTTGTACCAAATTATTTAGATTTCACACGGTAAGGTATATACCTCAAGTTAAAATCAGTGCTTACCAAGAGGCATATTTTGCTGACTGCTGGCCTGGTGCAGCAAAGGCGAAACGTTGCAGTCTTATCCCGATCGGAGTAGCTATTTTTTTACTCATATTGCGAACAGGCTGGTAGTTCTGATCCACTCTCCGTCCATAGAGAGCTTTGGCCAAAGAACGAGAGAGACGACTTCTATGATTCGGACGAAGTAACAACCGAGGTCCAGGATTTATTGGGGCAGATTCGCTCTTACCCTCCAATTGGCCAAGTGCGCCAGCACGGAAGAGAACTAATGTCTGGGAGACCGGCTTGGGAGTAGATTGACTTGATGGAAGTTCAAAGGGCTTCGCAAGGTCAAAAGATCCAGAGCTTTCTTCATTCAGATGAACGTAAAAGTCCTAGGCAAATCAGTATCATTGATAATACGTAAAAAGAAGAATTTTGTACGGTCTATTAATTCACAATCAACCTAAAATGACAGAAGAAACTTTTAAAGTTGTTGTAAGCTCATTCCCATTTCACCTGATTTGCACAAAATAAGCAAAGTTAATTGAAAGATTCTGAATGACATTCGATACAAAGGGAAAAATCAATAATATTGACTGATTTCAGGACACTGATCTGCAGTGTTTAAGATGTCTTCGCAAGACTCATCTATAACTCATGAATGTAAGAGGCTGCATATGGGCAAAAGCACTCAGTTGGATCGACTGGATAACAAGGTCTGAATATCAGAGATTTGAACCCACTCAGAAATACACGGATCAATTATTGCAGAGTGAATTGTGGGCCTTATATGATGGAGGGAAATCAAGCATCCAAAGTACAGCTCATTAATAAAACTCCCCAGACAGTCACGTGACCCACCAGACAACGCCAGGCGATGGGCTCAGCTCTGCATATGGCAGACCGACTAACACTAACATTTTCGGTGGCCATTCGAACCACCGTAATTTGAATAATTAAACAGGATGTGAGCAAAAAATGTCATATTTTGGAAAATGGAGACGAAGTTTTTGATTAACACCTTTGGTATTACACAAAAAAATTAGATAAACCCCATGGAATCGGCTTGAAATATTTACAAGATCAAATAGTGTGATGGGGAAATTCGTCCTCATAGAAAATAAATATTAGCAAACTTTGAGTTTGGGGAATCGAATGAGATTCATTCAATAAAGAAAACGAGGAACCGGTCTACTCAACGGCTAAAACATGAAGCACAGAAATCCACCCCCGCAAAGTGTAATAAAACAAATGAGCCGAAACATGCACTATACTGAGAAAGACAAGTTCGAAAATTAAAGGAAACACGTTGCGACAAGCCAATCCGCGCATACCCCCTAAACATCAACTGACAACAAAGAAAGTCCTCTCGAATGAGAGATTTATACTCATCCGGAGATAGAACATGCCGATGGAGGTAAATTTACTAGCTGAAAAATGTGTGTAGGCGTTTTCAACGCAGAGGATATCTTCAAAAACATAGATTCCAAAATTTATTTTAAACGATTTGGAGTAACCTGTTTGAACCTTTAGTTAAATTACATTTTTATTAATACACAGTATTAAATTTCCAGTTATGCCAGCTAAAGTAAACCCAGATTTTAACAGACGGTTTATAATCGATGTGTGATTTGAGGAGTTAAAAACATACAAAAGAAAGTGAATCTGTGTATTTAACTTACTCTGTTAGAACCAGACTCGTCGAAATCCTCAAAATACTTGCCCTCTAGGAAATCACCCGAAGGAGAAAGACTGACATTCGAAAAGAGCAAAACTCCAACACCGAGTTTTGAATCAGGATGCAGGATAGTTAAACCATGGAAGGAGATAAGACTCTTAAAGGACAGCCCCCCTCGGAGGCGATTAATTTCATCATCCTTCGTTGGAATTAAGATCTACAAAAATCAGTACATGTATGTGCATTAAGTTTATGAAAAATCGAGGCATTATTGGGGACAAAAGGGACTCACCTTAACTTCAATATGACCCCCATCTTTGAAAAGCCTGTGGCGTCGTCGCGGTTCCGAGCGATAGAGAATTTCAATCAATCCAGTTTCTGGGTCTGGAGTCGGATCAACTTTGACAATTGAATATTCAAACTGGGTAAGGTAATAATCTTGAAAAGTCTTATTGCTTTTGCTAGCAGTAACCATGTCCGAATCGCCACTAGGATCTCGAAAATCGAAAATCTTTCAAGTAAACGGAATCAAAATAAACCGAACCGATAAATAGCTAATTCCATATATATCAGTAGCGCCCTCAATTCGAATACCATCATACATATTGCTAGAAAATAATTTCTTCCAATCAAATGTAACTCCCGCATTTTGCTTTGCACTTTTGACCATAAATATCGAGGGAGCCCCAAGCTTGGCCGATGCTACAGTGAAAAAGTGAATGGAAAAGTTGCTGTGTTTAGCAGAAACATGAACTAAATTGGGAAATTCCTCTTGACATTCATCATCACACGCAGGATTTTGAGATACTTTGAACTAAAAATATAAATGGTTGAAAAAATCTTACATCCCACGACCATACTGTGCTGCATACACAAAATATACAAAGAACGAAAATACGACCGCACATCCGTAAGTTCGACAGAGGCAATGATAACCTTAATCAATATATTAAAACATTTTCTGCAATTTTATGATATATTAACACTTACTGAATAAAAACCTCAATTTAGATAGCATTAATTTCCCTTACAATTTATTAATACTCCAGCATAATTCAATGCATGTAAAAAACAGACAGAAACGTGAATACTTAGTTTTTGACTTCCTCAAAGATAAAAATTCAAACGTTACTGATTAAAGTAGCTCATTGTTTATAAAAGTTAATAATTAAATATTCCTCTAGCAATGCCGGTTTGTTTGCCTATTAGTTGGAAAAGCTTTGTCTTGACAACGGTTTGTTAATCGTTTATTGTGTGAAAGCATTGTCCTGTTATGTTATTTTTGAAAATCTTACAACTTAATAGAAATTTTAAAAGTTAAAATCTTATAAAAAACAGTACAATTTAGTGGAATGGCAATAATATATCTGTGAAACATTTTCCAAATTTTTGGTACTCCGAAGTAACTAACGGCTTTTGGCCTGTGTCCAGAAAAGATTCAAATTACTAATCTACTCACAGATAACTTACTACAGTGATTAAAAATCAACAAGATAGTTCCATGCATTTTTTTGAATAGTTGTCAATTTCCCAGACATATATTTTTGCTACAGGGGTGTGCGATAGACTTACCTCCACGTGGTGCACCCTGGGCAACGTATACTCATACGGCAAAAAAGTCTATTAGCCGGCAATTGACTTCTGACTTCAAACTACCATAACCCCACTGGATGCCATATTCTACTACTTCCCCAGTAATCATCCTACCTTTTTTCTGCCTTTGTGCCTGTCTCTTTTACAACTGTAAACCACTCTTCTGTTCCCCATCCCTCGACTTTCTGTTACTTTGATGTTCCTTCCCCCTGTGAAGCCCGAAGTCAGCTGAAGGGATAATGATAACTATCAAAACGCCTGCCATTTGAAATAAATAAATATAAATAAATTTTTGCTACAAATTGGAAAAGGTGGTAAAAATTAAAGTAAAATTCCTATTGACATATTTATAAGGAAAATATAAAGTGAACAGGAATTATTTATAACACATTGTGGATGATTAAATTTAACAGTTATTATTTGATAATCTTCATATGTCCTTGGAATCTCCACCTCACCTATTTGTGGGTGTATTCGCCAGTTTAGATAACTTCGTTCTACACCTTTGTCATTGGTGATGGATCATTTAGAGAAATGGAAGCCGCTTGATTCTTTTCTT